TCCCTTTCAACCTGGATTGGCCCTGACAGACAGGGCCGGAAGCCCGCCTCCGAAATGATCATCTTAAATTGGGTTTCTTAGGGTCGTGAAAATACCTGCATCAAAAGACTTGATTACAAAATCATGATTGAAAAAAACCCAACAAAAAACGAAAGTTCATTTAGGAGATGAGCTGCCCCACCCTCCTGTAAGGGCCAACCCGGGCTAAATGGGATGCAGCAGCCCAGCAGATAGACCGAGAAACTCTAACAGGAAATGCCTCTCTCGGGAATCTTCTTTCTGTGTTAGCGCAAAGCCTTTTTGTCCGTACAGTACAAAGGTCCGTTGAGATCTGTTCGTCAAACAAATAGAGGCGTCTCATTCTAACGACAGTAAAGGGGGGGGGGGGGCGAATTGTCGATTTTTTAAACTCAGCATGTGTTCCCACTGGGTAAGTCGTTGTAGCTCCAGAAAAGGAACTGCCCCATTTTTCGTCAGTTCATCTAGCACAAAATGGATACTAGCTCATCGGTAGACTGGCGTCTATGTTGCAGTGGAGTGGTTGAACAGTTCACATTCACTGGCAGAAGACGTCGAGTTCGATTCGCGAGTTGAGCAGAGAATCTTGAGTATCTCGGTCGTTCCCCTCCGTTGTGTCCTTCTCCGCCCGTGTTGGCCCTGGCAAGCTGGGTCGAGGCAGCCCGCCTTCTGAATGACCTATATATTATTTATTATGTCCTCAGGGGCATAATACATCTACAAATGCAAATCGAAATTGTTGTATTTTTTTAATGTTCACAACGTTTTACAGCAACAATCGCATTCACACATATTGCAAACTTTAATTAATGAACTAAGCCACACGTGATTCCAACAGACTTTCCTGTTGCCCGGTTTGATTGGATCCTCTATTTCCCGCCAAAGCTCACCCGGTCCCTGGTCCCATCTCTGTGGAGAGGCCATCAGTGCGTCGTCGCCGTTACTTCCGTGACATCACGGAGTCGTTTGTTTGTGGCGGGATAACGGTTGGGGGTTGGGCGTGGGTAGGGAATGATACTTGAGAATACGAGACAGTTTACAATCGTGTACAGTTTCGACGCCATTCATCAATCAGTCGCTGTTCACAGAAGTCAGCTCGTCATTGGTCCGCGATTTTTCTTAGTTTTCTTAGCGCGTTAGTCATTGGTGGAACTAAGAAGGATAACATCAATTGTCAGTTCGTGTGGCAATATAAACAATATACCGGTGCCAGAAACAGGATGAAGTAATACTGTGTATGTTTAATAACTACTCAACACTGATAGATAGAAAGAAAGGACGTGAATTATTGAGGAATAACGGCAGATAGACAGAAAGGAACGAAACGAGATTAGTCGTGAAAATTGATCCTTTCTGATTGAATATCATTTTTCACTTATTATGTAAGTTTTGAAGCACGGACTCATTATTATCTTTGTGTGTTTTGTGTAAAATTCATTAACGATTTTTAGTTTTTTGTCCGTCTATTTGTCTGTCTGTCTGCCTGTCTGTTTGTCTGTCCATCTCTCTCTCTGTCTCTCTCTCTGTCTCTCTCTCTCTTTCTCTCTCTCTCCCCTCCCTCTCCCCTCTCTCTCTCTCTCCCTTTATCTCTCTCTCACACACACACACTTTGTCTGTCTATCTATCTATCTATCTATCTATCTATCTATCTATCTATCTATCTATCTATCT